TGATCTGATTAGTCGACTAATCGCATAAATAATCGGTGACTAGTCGACTATCAAAATAATCGTTTGTGGCAGCCCTACACATTATGGACACATATACATGTGCAGCCTTCACATGTTGAGGTGACCCTCTCCCTCCTAAAACAGTAAACTGTAAACAGTAAGTAGAGTAGTGTGTACTCTTCAAAGACATGCCCTTGGCAGCATGTAGCACACACCAAACTCTTCCTGGCCTAGTTGACTGAGACACTGACCGACTTTCCCTGCTTGACAGCTACTGGCAGGGGAAGATGGAAACTACAACGATGCACCGGCACGCACACACACACACACACACACACATATATCTGCCAGTGTGCACATACAGACTCACACAGTGTAAAACTAGAACTAAGCACTCTGCTGCCTTCTCTGGAGACAGTGTACTGTATGTGCAAGCCACTGATGCAGTGGTGGGTGTTAAAGCCTCCGGACAAAAAAAAAAAAAAATCCCAACTAAATATGAAAGAAAAAAAAAACCCCAAAGGATGAAGAACAAGATGATGACCCCCCCCCCCCAAAAAAAAGAAAGAAAGAGAGGGATTGTCTTCTCAAGATAAGTTACACAAGTTACACACAGGCACACGCTTTCATCTGAAAAAGAAGGACAGAGTATGGAGCAAGAGCACCCCCTCCAAACTCTCAACCAGCTTCCTTCTAGGAGCCCGTGGTCTCTTTCACAGGCACAGAAGAGCCCTCAGGCTAGGACAGGATAAAATAAGATGTCCCTCAGTGCGCTGGCAACTGTTGCAAGCTGAATAATCCATGTTAGGTGACTCACGCAGTCCACCCCGAGGTAACACCTTCACAAGCTACAGTAAGTGGATCTCCTGAATAATGTCTGAATTTATGAGGCAATCATAATAAATGGGAATACCTGTCAGAGCAACCAGGTGGACAAAACTGACTCAGAGTGGATGAATTTATTTGAATTTTTTTGTGAAACAAGCTAGTTTCCATTTTCTTACTAATATTGGTTGACAATCAGCTTTTTATTCATTTAGGCTTGGTCTTATTTACAGTACGGACCTGCTGGGTAATGTCTAATTGATGAGTTGTTGTTTTTTTTAAACTCTCTGTCTCTCTTCCACAGCATGTCTTTATCCTGTCTTCTTTCTCTCACCCAACCGGTCACATCAGATGGCCCCGCTCCTCCCTGAGCCTGGTTCTGCCGGAGGTTCCTTCCTGTTAAAAGGGAGTTTTTTCTTCCCACTGTCGCCAAAGTGCTTGCTCATAGGGGGTCATATGATTGTTGGGTTTTTCTCTGTATCTATTATTGTACAATCTACTGTGCAATATAAAGCGCCTTGAGGCAACTGCTGTTGTGATTTGGTGCTATATAAATAAAATTGAATTGAATTGAAACCAACTTCAGCATCTTAACCAACTTACCCAATGACAGCGAAGGCAGGAAGCTCCTGGAGGTCAAAGGGAAAGTCTAATCGGAAGCGGGTTTTAAACAGAGCTGTGATGGTCTCTGGAGAAAGAGAGAGAGGACAAGCCACTGTATCACTGAACAGACCTCAAAGTCATTAAGCGAGGTTAAAAACAGGTCTTCTAAACACATGTAGGGCAATAAATAAAATATATTAAAGCTACTGATGCATCACTGACTGATCTGACTGATGGAAGGAGTAAAAAGGAAAACTTCAGCTTACTGTGGAGGTGATGACCAAAAAATGGTAAATGGCCTGTATTTGTATAGCGCCTTACTAGTCCTAAAGGACCCCAAAGCGCTTTACACATCCAGTCACACCCATTCACACACACATTCACATACTGGTGATGGCAAGCTACATTGTAGCCACAGCCACCCTGGGGCACACTGACAGAGGCGAGGCTGCCAGACACTGGCGCCATCGGGCCCTCTGACCACCACCAGTAGGCAACGGGTGGTGTCTTGCCCAAGGACACAACGACCGAGACTGTCCAAGCCAGGGCTCGAACCGGCAACCTTCCAATTACAAGGCCAAATCCCAACTCTTGAACCACGATCGCCCCAAAACTCCAAACCTCACAAAACCTGACCACATTAAACAACTGGTGGGAGAAAAGGCTGTGAAAAACTAAACCACTAACAGGATCCTGGAAATCCCAAAGAAGTTTGGATGCCTGCCACTGAGAACTGTTTTGGTAGGATGAAAATTCTATTTTTAGCACCTCCAGTGTTGCAGCAAGTCTTTGTCCTTTACTCAGTATATTATTTAGACTTGCACACATGTAACTAGTAAAATAATGACAGAGCTTCATTTATACACAGATTAGAAACCCCATTGCCCCCAGGCTCAAGAGGTATGTAACACTCCAAGAGCCAAACCTGCAAATATCAACACCCACAGAAACCTTAGTATCTCAGCTAAATGCTCATATAAACCATTTCTACAACCACCAAACGCAGCGAAAACAAGCAATGATTAAAAGAACAGTTACTTAAATGCGCAAAAGTCCGCTAAACACACACAACCGAGCCAAGAAATCTCCAGACTTCAGGTAGCTATGAAAACAATGGCTAGTTTGCTTGCAGGGCTCTCTCACGCATTCCAAAACACCAAGTTTCACCATGCTCCAACCAAAATTCACTAGACAAGCTGCAAAAGAAGACCACAAAAATGTCACTGTGATTCTATTGGCTCAACCGATTAAAAAGAGGTGTCAATCATGCAAATTGGCCAATAGAGGCCTAAGCTACAGCCCCTCAGAGTTTAAATCGCAAGAGGCCATTTAAACTCACCAGGGTGCAGGACAGAAAGGGCTCGCTGACTGGGAATGTGTGGTTAATTCTTCAAAAATATTCAAAAGACAAGCATTTCTAAGCATGGTAATGAAGTTAAATCATTTCTGTTGTTTAAAAAAACAGCAGAAATTCAACTCGTATATGGTGTCCAAGGTGCGCCAAAATTGGACATCCTGTATAACACCTGGACCTTTATTTATTAAAAGTCCTGCAATTTTTCACAGTTTCACTTTGGAAGCATAAATCTTTGTTTATAAATTGATTTCTGCTTTTCTGGATTACAGTGTCAATTAAAGCATATTTTTAAAAGGGTTATATGCTAGAAATTATTTGCTATTATATTGTATGTTATATGCTAAAAAATTATATCACAAAAGACTGCATGAAATAGAAAAATTTGGACCATTCAATCCCAAATTCATAGCAGACTGACTCCATCTTATTGCTGCTTTTTCACTGTCTTAATTTACAAAAGTTGCTGTGAAGACGTGACGTGATGGCTCAGCGCTTGCAGACCTGGTCCCCGTCTCCAAACCACTAAAACATTGGACCTTAAAGTGGACTCACTCTGATCATTTCCAGCCTTATATTTGAATTCTAACTGCATGACTCACAGCTCGTTCCTTATCGATCTTAAACTGAGCCTTGGTGAAGCCCCTCAGTTTATCCACTGTTTGAACCAACTTTAAGGCCACTCTTGCTTTGATACGACTTTTATCTGATTTTTTGCCCCTCAAAAACAAAAGACACTGAACATGCCACTAGCTACTACAAAAATGGATTTGATTGTGCTGGACAAAGTGTTCCTAATAAAGTGCTTATACTGTCTTATACTAAGTACAATGAACACATCAGTCTTACCTTCATCTCTGTTCCAAACAGCTAATACCCTGAAGATGAAGGCACTGAAAGTGGCAGCAAAGAAGCCCCTCCAATAGTTCCTCACAGCAAAGAATGTGGAAGTTACTTCAATACTGAACAGCACACCTTAAACACACAAACACCACAAGGCATGAGCACTGACATTTAAAAAATGCACAAACAAGTGAAATGGACTTTTCTTGACATGCAGTTCTTCATGTAACACTCAAGTAACAACAACATTTCCTTGCATTACACACAGATGAATTTGTTCGCCAGCGTCTGTATTCAGACATGATCTCCATTTTTGGAAATGTCATTTACCTCAGTTAGCTCAGGCTTAGCAAGATGAATTCATGGTGGGGTGGAAGCACAGGCTGAAGAAAAACCAGCTAGAAGCTAAATAAATTATGTCACTGATACAAAGGCGTGTAGTGTGCTCCAAGGCTGTACCAGGGCTCTAAATTTAACATGAGATGATACGAGGGTGTACAGAAAGAGAATACCTCCGCAAAAAAACATCTCCCATGAAACAGCACTGATTGCTCCATCCATTTCAGCAACATGAAGCCCATTATATGTTAAGTGGGTTACACATTGTAAAAGTTATACAGTGCTTACACATTTAGCTCATTACAGAGTGCCACAGGCTTCAGGTACTACATCACGTTTGCTTTAGACTCACCTCCTATGGGGGCAGCGAAACAGCAACCAACTCCCACGGCACAGGCTGCTGCCAGCATCTCTATGTTCCTCGACTCATTCTGAAACCACACAGTGGTTAGATTTCAGTCACCAGCAGTCATTCAACAGCAACCACAACAACAACAACAAAAGTGAAAAGGAAAGAAGTGAGTCAATTCATTATATTTTTTCTATGACACACTTTTAATAAGACACCTAAGCAAAAAAAAAAAAAAAAAAAGCATCCGGAAAGGATTCTGTGTTTCATTTGTTCCACATTTTTGTCATGTCACAGCATTATTCCAAAATGGTTTCACCTACACCCTCCATATACATGCTCCATAATGATGAAGTGAAAAAGGTTTGCTTAATTTTTTTCTATCAACTAAGAAAAAAAAAACAAAAAACCTCCTCCTCCTACTCATAACAACAACAACAACAATAATAATAATAATCAACAATTAACAAGCAAAGTAAAATATTCCTAAATCAAAGCAAAATTGAATTTCAAATGAGTACAAAACAAATTGGATGTCTTAAAAACAAAAAAAGTCAAAAAATATTTAAAAAAAATACCATGGATATATGAAAATCATTTTTTATATTTTAAATTAAACAGTAATAATATTAATGAAGGATCATATAATGAGCTGTGTCGTAAGACAGTCAGAAAGACAGTGGGAAAGGGACAATCATGCTGCATGAGCGCGGGATAGACTGTGGTGCATTATGGGAATGGAGGTTTTTTTCCTTTCTTTTTGACACTTCTGATCTTATTTACCTTCATTCCTATGAGACCGATGTCCTTCAAGCAGCATGGCAGTGGTAAAGGAAAGTTACTGCGTGTTTTACTTTCACAACAGAATATTTTATGTGGAAAAGTTGGTGTGGAAGAGAAGGTGCGTGTAAGGCTTAATATTTAGTAAAACAAAGGAAACTTCAGAGAATTTTCCTCTGTGAATGACAAGTAGGGATGCATGGATTATGAATTGTGAATTATTCTGAGCAGATTCCAGGATTGCACATGCAACTTTCTCTGATGCAGATTTTTGTTGTCTTTATTTTGTTTGTCTCATTTCCCCTGTTATCCCACCAAAACATACACAAAAAAAAAAACCACTGAAAAAAAAAAACGTTTTTCAGTCTATCAAACATTTTGAACGTTTTGAACATTTAGAAGAAACCATGCATGCATGAGGCTTAGTTACTCCAAGTTCAGAAAGTTACTGCTTATCTCCGTTGTCACAGATTTTATTTTAAACTGATAAAATTCAGTCTACCTGTAGATTCAAACAAATTCAATCTACTTTCAAAGATATAAAAAAGGATAAAGTAGAAATTAGTTTTTTAGATGTTTTGGCTTCATTCATCCTTCCTGCAACTCAAAGGCATGATGCCAATACCACCATGCTTCACTATAACAGCTGCGGTGATGAGCTACACATTAAGCCCGGACTTCTCCCCAAACAGTTCCACTATTGTCTCGTCAGAACAGATGATCTCCTCCCTAATGGACTCGCTTAAAGTACTCTGAGTGAACTATCCTTTGCCCTACTGTATACTGAGAGAGGTCTATGGAGCAGCTCTACCATGACTGATGATACAAGATGGTCCTCTGTTTTGCAAGTTCTCCATCTTTTGGAGGACTTCTAAAAATCTGCTGGAGTTACCTTTGTGTTCTTGGACACTTCCCAATCCACAGTGTTCTGTTTGGCCATTACAGACCAAGTGGCCTCCAATCGACTTCTAGACAAATCTGAAGTAAAACTAAAGTTCCACTAAAGTACTTAAAGAAGAACAGACTTGCTGTTTTTATTTCTAATAAATCATAAATAATAAATGCAGATAAAGTAAATTCTCAGTTCATTTTCACTAGACTCAAATATTGTTGGGTATGAATAGTACACACAGTGGCTTTGATAAAGCTTTACAAATGCTAATAAAAGAGTGTGTTTTTGCTCTTCTCTTTCTCCTTTCTTTTAGTCTTTAACTGTATTTGAACAGTGGGTTATGCATGTATGTATGGGCTTACATAAGAAATAAAAAAAAAATCTTTTAATGGAGCCTGACTAATAATTTTAAGGTGAAACAAATGGGGAAAAAACTTTATTTCTAGGCTTAAAACTAGTGCTGTCAGCGCTAATCTTGTTAAAACAACACGCTGTCAACGCGTTAGCGTTCAGCCCCATGCACGGGGCGATCTCCGCTAACTCGTTAATGGAGATTTGCGGCGTTAATGCGGTTATGGTATTAGCGTCATTTTAACGAGATCAATGCTGACAGCACTACTTAAAGCATGTTTTGTAGACTGGATAGTGGAATAAGTAACAAATGGAGCTCAGTAAATCAGTTTGACTTTAGCTGTAGGGATGAAGGAATGTTCATGCTGGGAATTTTGCAGCTGAATTACCTTAATCCCTGTAACACCGGGCTCCTACAGGAAGCATGGGAGTAAGAGACACAAGTTAAGCTAGCAAAGAACAAATGCAAGAGTCTTTTTCATTACTGCCTAAACTCGCTGTGTGATGCTACAAGACTCAAGAAACCGAGTCCCCGGTGTTTTAGCATTAAACTCAACATTTCCTCCGCTGACATTTACAGCTCAAGTAAAACGCATTTTATCTTATAATATCTAATCAAATGCCAGCTGTATTCAAACAAGAGTACTCAATGTGTATGGGAAAAATATGAAGTGCAAAAAAGAAAAAAGAAAAAGCTGTTGTTGTTTTTTTTTTTAAAGTATGGCACTCTGAAACAGAAAGGTAATTTTTACAGCCTGCAGGTTGCATTAGCATACTGTACTTCAACCACTAGAGAGGACCAGATACTGCTGCAAAGGGACTCTTCACACATCCACACAGGCAAATACACACTCAGCATTAATATGCCATAAAATGCATGACAACACTCTGGAGGGATGGAGAGCAGGATGGAATAACAGAGGGTTACAGGTAGACTATTTAATGAGGCCCATGATAGGGTTTTCAGAAGAGACTAATATAAAGGAAGAGAGGCAGATGGAAAATTTAACAGAAAAATAAATAGCGGAACGAGAGGGAAAATAATGACGTGGAGGGGCAGAATGCATTGAATGACGGTTGTAAACTAATTACTGCTGCTACATTTAAATTGGCTGGATGTAAAAGTCAGAACAGACCGGAACTGTTTGTTTTCACGTATACAGACATACGCAAAAGCAAAGAGCATTTTTACTACTTTTCATCTTCACCTGAAGTGAAATCAGATAATGAAATGCGAATTTAAATGGACTCTAGTACATTTTTTATTCACAACAATTAGCATTAAAACTATCTTTTGGCTGCACGGTGTGTTATATATTCTCAGAAAGACATTTCAAAAGGTCAAATCTATGCACCAACTGCACGACTCTTCCTTCTAGGGTCACACTTAAATTGATTCTTATTTGTCATCTTGTACTAGGCCTTGAAAAAGAAAAAAAGAAGAAGCTATTTTTGCAGCATCTCCCATTATCCAGCTTTCATCTAAATGGCTACCCTTTGTAAATACAAGGTTTGAATTAGGGCTGAACGATATATCGCATTTGCGATAATATCGCGACATGATCAAGTGCAATTTTCTAACCGCAAAGGCTGCGATTATACTCTGGACATGTCCAAATTCATGGGCTGCATCCTCCTGAGGCCGCATTTGTAGACCGATTACGTCACAGCGACGCGCCGAAGGCTGTCCAAATTACTACCATATCCCAGAATTCATAGCGCGGCCCAGCCAAACTCCAGTTTCCAGCAATGGCGGCCGCTACTAAGTTTTAAAATTACTCTTACTAATCTTTCTGGGTCACAAAATAAACTTTTTAACATATTTTCAGGCGAGAAATGTAGCTTGTAAACTCAAGTATCTGCTCGGTTTATCAAGATATCCCATATTTGCAAAAGTGTTCTGACGTTTTCAGAGCGTCTGCTACTCCACTAGCTCGACTAGCTAGCCAGGAAGCTCGAGAGTTCACTGATGGAGCCGAGAACGTATCAACTCCCGCACATCATTTTCAGATCACCGCGAGCTTTCGCTACTCGGGTTAAACGTAATATATAAGTCACTTAGACAACCTAAAAATGTTATTGTTGGGCTTTTTTCAGTGTTTTGTTTGTTCGTGAGTAAATCGGTTTGGCTGAGATTAAAGTTATTAGATTAGATTAGAAATAAAACTTTATTAATCCCCTGGGTGGGTTCCTCCTTGGTTTTCACACAGCTGACTAAACGTCAAACAGAAAACTATTAAACAGAAGTATGAGACAGTCGAGAATTTACACCAGTGTCTGGTTATATTTTAGATAGCAAGAAGCAGACGGCCGAGTTTATTAAACTCCACCGAGACAGCGGTGACGCTAATCAGAATAGCGCTAGACCGTCCAATTTCACGCCTTTAAATTTTAAAGGCGTGTTTGTGTGTGTGTTTATACAATTGCTATTATGTTTGCACTTTATGTGTAATGTTACTGACTGCAGAGATCAGTAAGATGTGTGTATTTTTTATTTATTAGTTTTATTTATTTAATATTATTTTTTAATTGAATGACTGTCTAGTAGTTCACAGATGTCGAAAAACTGAGTGTGGTAAAGCCACTGATTTTTTTTATGTATATTTCTGCAATCTGCACATTGTACTGACTTTCATTTTAATGTTTACACCAGGGTTCCTTGTCAGCACTTTATGCTCAGATGTTTGTAAGCTAAAAATAAACTATTGTGTATGTTCAAATATACTGTTGTGATTGAAGAAGTTAAATAAAAATGTCAGTCATCAATTCATGCATCACCTCATGTCATCATAACAGAGGTCTGTCTTCCAGGAAAGAACAGTTTAAAATTAATGTAATATAGTATTGGCCATACTATATGATGTATTGCTTGTCTTTGTTTAATAATACAGAAGACAAAGACCTTAAAAAATAATCGCATATCGCATCGCAATCGCAATATTGGGGCAAAAAAATCGCAATTAGATTATTTTCCATAATCGTTCAGCCCTAGTTTGAATCCAGGTGTGCTCACAGACTTGGCTGTATGTATGAGGAGGACATATAGGGAACACCAAGGAAAGAGCTTTGTATTTTTAGCTAAGAGATATAATATAATTGTTCAGGCAGTTGTGGGATATTATGTCTAAATGTGCAAATCCGCCTTAAGTATTCATGCCCCTGGTGTATTTATTTATATTCACAATATGTGGCCTTATTTTAGAAAGCATTCTGTCCATTTTATTTATTGAGTTTTATCGTTTTTGGACAAAAACTTATTTTGGAAGAAGTTAGCCGGCCTGCATGACAACTTTTTCTAACAAAGTCAAAGTCAAGTTTATTTCTACAGCACAACAAAAGCTGTTGACCAAGGTGCTGTGCATCTAAAATCATCAAATGACATAAAAGCATAGGGCAAGAATTTAACAAAAGAAACAAAACGAGAAAACCTGAGTAAGAAATAAAAAATAAAAGTAACAGAACTCATTCCGATTTAAAAGCTAGAGAATGAAAGTGGGTTTTTGATGTTGGGGAGGTCCTGATGTGAAGGGGCAGTTTGTTCCACAGCACAGCCACAGCAAAGGCCTGATTCCTTTTTTGCTTTAATCTGGACCTCGGGAAAGCTAGAAGGATTTGGTCAGCAGTTCTCAATAATCTTGAAAAAGTGTACAATCTACCAGGATGAACTACAACACGGGGCAAAGCAATCACAGGAACTTTGACGTGTATATAGTGTGAAGAGAGACTTTGGGTGGCATCATTATAGAGCAATAAAGTCCATGTAGCGAGTAGGTCCAGGTGGCTGGATGGGTCAGCAAAACATTATCTGATATTTGTATTGGCAATACAGTGTTTACCTTTAGCTTAATGGTGTATTGTTGATGCGGAGTAGGGATATAGTGGCTACAGCGTAGACCCTTTTCCCAGTACACCAGCTTTGTTTTGTACTTTCTTCAACTTCTCAACTTTTCACCCCCCCAACGGACATGCTCACATCTCACGAGAAAAACAAAAAGTCAAAGGTTTTTCTGATTTCCTTCAGCTCCTAGCTTCCTCTCCCAATGGATACACACTCAGCGTAATTTCCATCTGACTTTTTTTGTTTCTTCTTCTCCCTATTCTCATTAGCGCTTCCAAAATTTCCATCTCAATCAATGAATACGTTTCTGGGAAGAAACGATGAAAAGATGTATTTGTGTACAAATAGAAGTGATTCAAACTTCAAAAAAACAGGATATAAGTGGTTGTTGACTATACATGAGCTGCAAGAGAGCAATTCCTGAAGACAAAAGAAGAAAAAAAACCTGAACTTTTTAACTGCCCAAATAACAGAGGGACAAAAAGTTAGAAACTAACTAACAACTAATAGCTCTATGTTGAGCCTATGTGCTCCATAAAAAGTAATTACAAAGAAAAAAGCTGCAGGCTTCAGCATCCCAAAAATCCACCAACCCTGCTGGAAATAAGTTCCAGCTCTGGTCTTCACCCTCAAATATTCTTTTTGTTCTTCCTTCCCCATTTCTCTTCATCATTACCCTTTCTTTCAGGCCTTCTGCTCTCTTTTTTTGTTACTTCAAACTCAAACAGCTTGAAAAAAAAAAAAGAAAAGAAATGTCAGCACCCCCTCCTTCCGCTGTGTTCGTAATCTCTTAGCTTTTGTTTAGTTTTATTTCCTGCACTTTTCCCTGACCTGGGGATTTTGCAAGGGTTGGCTCAAGATATTGCAAAGTTGCTTTTGTGAACTGTTCTGAACAACTGAAACTGCCCTCCATAAATTCCCTGCCTACACTGAAAGACCCATACATACTATGCATTAATTTGCATCTTAGAGTAAATAGACTTAAATCTCACAAATCCATGTGCCAGTAATTACAAATTTAATTGCAGATCCACCAACTCTAGATTGCACAAGTTACATTCATACAGTTGCATTTTGAGTCTATACTCACATATAGTGGGCATTTAGTTCTGGATGAGAAATTCATGTATATACTTTAAACTAACTCGCTATTGTTTCCTAAACTCCAACTAAAATCCCCCTCTAGAACTCAAATTTTCAATTTTCTGATTCCATCTTAATGTCAAAGCAGTTGGTACGTCTAACCAGAAATGCATCTATTAGGTCTCCTTCAGAAACACAATAGTAACTTTAAGGGGGTTCATTTATATTTTCATATCTATTTAGCTTTGAGTGCCCACATTAACACAGATGCAGGTGCAAAAATGTTGAATCTTTTAGTTTTTGTAAAAATGTAGGAATACGCTTATTTATGTGCAACACGGCCCCAGAATTTTCGGATAAGTCGGATCAAGGGGGTATCTTGTAAAGTTAGTTTTTTTTAAAAAAAAAAAAAAAAAAAAAAGAAAAGAAAGAAAAAAAAAAAGATTCTCTCTTGTGTTACTGATCCTCTGCTGCAGCTCAGCAGGGGCACGGTCTGTGCCAACATACAGGGGTACACTAAGACTTTCACTATGTTTGTATAATTCAGCCACATATTTGTTTAAAATTTCAGATTCTTCATATAACAGGCAGCACAGATTTTGTCCCTCATCATTTCCGCTGTAAGCACTGTATAAGGTGGTCTTTCATGTGAACATCACACGTTTTGTTCAAACGTTTGATCAGTTTGATCGGTTTTCATAATCTCGGGAATTAAAAATGTACTAACGCTATGCTAATTAATTCAGGTATGTATGTATTTGGTTAAGTAGCAACCAAGGCTTATTGTCTATTTGGTACAATTCTAGCAAGTACTTGGAAAAGAGAGTTTTTCATCTAGTGTATATCTGGCATTCTGATCAGGCCTATTCTAAAATTTTATTTTGATTTCACTTCTGTTTTTTACCTAGATAGAACTGTAGTTTAAACATTTGCTATCAATGAAATGAAAATACAATTTCAATCTCAAGAATAAGAAATATTTTATACAAATTCCACAATCATATATATTTGTACATTTCACAGGTCAGCTGAGTATAGAATGGATTGTCAGATTAGAATTAAATAGATGTTAGCCTTGGATGCACACCAGCACATAATACCCTCAGAGGGTCTCCAGTATCCCTTTTTCAACCCTGGCCTCTCTAAGAGGTCCTCCCGTGTATTGACATTGAAAGACCACACAGTAGCAATCTCCAGCATTGCTTCTTTGACCCTGGGCAAAAGTGACAAAAACACAAACTGGGTTGGAAAAGGATATTAACAGCAAATTATACTGCAAAAATTAATTAAGCTGCTCGAATAATTATCACTTTGGCTTTTTTTTTTTTTTAATTTTCACTCCCCCAACCCCAACCAGTTGCGGCAGATGGCTGTCCTTTCCTGCGCCTGGTTCTGTCGGAGGTTTCTTCCCCTTAGAAGGGAGCTTTTCCTCCCCACAGTTGCTAAATGCCTGCTCACAGGGAATAGTCTGATTGTTGGGCAAACTAGTAATTCTTGTGAAAATTAAAAAAAATAGCCTTAAATAAATAACAACCAAAACAACAAATGAATATGGTCTTGAACTTGGGTACAGTTTTGCTTAAAAACTGCGTCAAGTTCTCACCAATCACCAGTCACTGAGATTTAAACTTAACAGAGGTTTTCAGTAGATGCAACCATGGTATTAATTTGAAAATTCTACGCAATCACAAACTTGGGTGTCCACAGCGCCCCGCCATTCAAACACGTCAATCAAACAAATTGAGGGAAAACTGATTAAATAGTTTGCAACATTCCTGCACATAAATCTGCCTTTGTTCTTCTAAAAATAAGCTTTTACTGACCATCAGTCATAGCATTGGTTCAGGCAGGCTCAGCCACAATCATGGCCAGTGAGCTCATTGCCTGTGCCATTTGATACTCTTCTAAACATCTAAATGGCAATTCTTACATTGGGAAAGGCATTAAAACTGATTTAGCCAGCCCACAGGTGCAACCATCCTGCAAGCGGCTTTGTAACCCACCTTCACCCTGTCAGCCACAGCAGAAAATTAAGCATCACTCCTGGTCTCATGTTCTGTGCTGAGACAACAGTTCATCCAATCCAAGAAACAACACCAAATGACAAACGTTGTAGCTGTTTACTATCACCAGGGGGCAGTGACACAGACAACCAGTCTGTGGACTACTGCTTGTGCCACTTTTGATCGTTCATTCAGTCGTGGAAATGAGTGAAGTTAACATAAAAGAACTGAAACGGGATGTGCCCACTAAAAACTTGGTTTTCGTTCCCGAAGGTGGGCCACCAGGCTGTGCTTTTCATGCTGTTTTTGTTTTTTATCTTTGATTTTTTGTGCTTCTGTTTTCTGTTTATCGTTTAGTTTTCAACCACACAGGGAATCAATGTCGAGCTGTGTGCTGCTGGTTTGCGTGGACTAATACACACGCAAATGGCTGCAACTCCTGCATTAGGAAGGTAAGCGAATGTTTTTGATTGCCAAAGCTGAAATCCAGTGCTCCAGCACACAACTAAGTATAGTTTCAGGCTATGGAGCTGATATTTTTAATCCAACGTAAGGACAGTGTTGGAAGATCCTTTCAGACAATTTACTTACTCACATTTCCAGCCACTGTTTTGATTGTACGCCTCATGAAAGTCAAAGAGGAAACCCTCAGCACATCACTAATTCGGGTATGTTGGTGCCAAAGCCCAGACTGTGGCTCTGAACTTTAACAACATTCAACAAAAACCTCCTTTCTAATGTCTATCGGAGTCTCAGTGCTGTTCACAAATGGTACTGGAGACTGGAGATGATCGGTGTTTGACGGCATACAGTCTGTTCTTCAAAGAGCATTAAACTGGAGTCTTTGCCAGCAACGATGAGATCATATGATGCGTAAGTATACAATTTTCCCACAATATTTATGAGAATGGTGAACTACCCTCATACCTTTTTTTTTTCCATGTGCAACCAACTAATGTAAAAAGTCAATAATAAATATCATATAAAGTGAATATGTAGTGCTTTTTGGCTTGGCTTAACTGCTGAGTACATTCACCAGTAAGGTAGGGTATGCATACAGCCTGAAAGGAGAATCCCAGCTAAAGCTTTAATGGGAATATCAAGATCACATCTGGATTATGGCATCAGGACAGTTCAGACCAACAATGTGAGTTTTTAGCTTGAAAATAAAGGTAAAATATTAAAATGATTACAATAAAGTAACAGTAGATGTTTAAGATTATATAAAAGATGACTTTTTTGTGTTATATTAATAAGTGTTAGCCTTACCTCATAGATTCCTCCAAACAGAGACATAAACTTGCTGAGGAGAGCTGCACACAGACTGGCGATGTGCACAAAGGGACCCTGACAGGAGGAATAACGCAGACAGAAATCAGGTTAAAAAAAAATTACAAATTAAGGAGCACTCTGGGCTCCTGTTTATTGTGAGTCAGTCACACAAGACAACACAACTCTTTGAAAACACATCAACAGGGAGAAAGTCAGCGGGAATATTAACATTTAGAGTATGAGGTTCAAAGTGGAACTAACAGGATTAAAAGTGAGAGCAGCAGAAAAGTGATGCTCAATTTAAAAGGCAGCGAGAGGCCTGCTCTGAATCTAAACGCTGGGTGTTGCTGCAGTGCTGTGTAACCAGAAGGGCCTGAGGGCTGTTTGTGTGCACAAGTGTTAGGAAACAGTGTTTTCCTGCAAGAATGTCTTCAGGCAAGGCTGTCTTTTGTGGGTGTAGGAAAAACCGTAAGTAAGTAAAATTTTATTTCTATAGCACCTTTCAAGACAAAGATCACAAAGTGCTTCACGAAGAAGTACCAGAGCATTTAAAACAAAACAAACAAAAAGTTAACCAAATGCATTTCCAAAAAGCTGAGTTGACACCTGATCTGTTTTTGCTACAAAAAACCTGAAAAATACTCAGCGATATAAACAACATCTGCATCATGAAGTAAAGGGATGTAAATATTCCCAGAAAAACAGTCTTCTCTCTCCCAGCTGGATCAGAAAACATCCCTGTACCTTCCTACTTTCCGTCACCTGAACCCAAGGGATGATGCAGGGATGTGAATGAGCAGCCAAAGGTTCATGTGCTGTAGTATGTGAATATACAGAGAGATTTAAGGCAAGTCGTTTCACAACACATCCTACCACTGTTCAGACACCTTACTGTGACCTACGTGGGTTTCTGACAACCAGTAATGATTTGAGTGGAAGCTCGTCTTCTGAAGCGATGCTTAATGTTTATTTTGAATGTTGTAAAAGCCGGCATTCAAAGCTGAAAGGGCCCAGCTGCTAGCGAAGGCTCTGTATCACAACACAAAGGTTTAATGCTGTGAATCACTGAAACTGTGCTAGTAAACATCAAAAGCAGAATGTGGGTCAGCGCTTGGGTTTCGCTGAAAAGTAAAAAGAGAAACTAGATTGTGTCTCATAAAGGTAGCGATAAAGACATGGCTGTCTGTTTCTGTCCTACAAAGAAAAAACATACTAACTGTACTTCTGTTCAAAACAAATTTGACATCTTAACCTATCTTACTAGAAACTGTTAGTCTTCACTCTGTGCAAACATACATATAATACATGTATTTGTCCACCAAGCTTTCTTGTCATTTCTTTAAGCGGTCTTCAGGAATAGTTCTCCAGGCTTCTTGAATGACAATCAAAGCTCTTCTTTAAATGCTGGGTGACTTTTATTTCACTCTCTCTGAAGATGATCCCTCACTGCTTCAATAATGTTGAGGTATAAGCTGTGAGGACTCCACCAAATGTCAAAATCCCCAAGATCACTGGCTGCAATGCAGCCCCTAACCATAACAGACCAATTACCACTGACTTTCAGTTAAGTTCTTGCTAAATCTGGCATATGTCAGCCTTTTCTCTCTGTTTCCCTTCTTTAAGAATAGCCTCTTGACTGCCACTCTTCTACTGAGACCACTTCAGATGAGGCTTCAGTGAATGTTAGTTGGATCAATTGAAGGGCCAGATGCATCTCTCAGGTCCTGTGTCAGAGCATTTTTTCCTATGTCTTAAGACATGACTTTCAGATACTCTTTATCAGGTAGTTTTGTTAGGCCTGCCATTTCTTTTGTCCTTCACCAATTTTTTAAGGACACACTGCACACCGTGCTTTAGAAATTACCTGGAGCAAAAATTATATTTTATGTCTGCCAAACTGCGTTACCTTTGGCATTTTTCATAGATTCAACTAAAGAAATGGGAACAAATTAAATGTTTTTGTGGCAGGCTACTAGTAATAAAGTGCCAACACACACATACAGTTATGTCATGTCTGTTATGTGTAGACAGAACACTAGTTTATCCCTTGGGTTAAGAGCATTTTTTTTTTATTGAATGATTCATAAGTCAGCAGCTTAGCAATCAAAAAAAATATTCCTATGAAAATAGTCCATTATCAGGACTGGAAAGAAAATGAGTGAAAAACCAGCAAATTTCCAAAGATAATATTTGAAAGATCATCAGAAAGCTAGAGAACTATTGCTTATGACCACTTTAAAAATTATAAGAATGTTTAGCTCCTTGGAAGCAAAATATAAAGAAATGAGAGGTAGCTCAAGACTTTTACACAATGCTGTATGACCAGTTCCACAAAACAATAGTAACAACCTACAGAAACTGTAATAGCATGGAATTTCCAACGAGAGCAGGTTTTTCCTCATGCAGAATATTATTAGTACTTCTCTGAACTCTTAAGGTAAGACTTTTAGTCTATAAATTATCAACAGCTAAAGTGATAACTGACCATAGTTAAAGCAATAGTTAACAACTTACTTTTTCCAGTTTATAGAAATAGAAAGCTCAATTTTGCTCTAAACCCTTAAGAATTAATTTGTTATACAACTGAAACAACAAACAAAAGTAAAGCCAATACCAAAATTGTATTGGAGAGAAACCTAACACCAGACAGAATAGTCTTGCTAAAAGCTAACTAGCCCAGTTTAGTAAACTACCAGTAACTACAATCTCGGCCAGATTAATGAGATATTGTTTTACCTTTTAGAAGTAAAAATGTATTCCACCTTTTATTTTTTATTCCACCTTATAATTTGCCTAAGTAAGTATAGAAATGTTTTAAAATGGCCTATTTTTTAAATTAAAATGTTAGCTTAGCTAGGAGCCTTTAAAGCAGCGGTCCCCAACCCCCGGGCCTCGGACCGGTACCGGTCCATGAGTCGTTTGGTACCGGGCTGCAAGACTTGAGGCTCAAGTGTGAAATGTATGGTTTTCATGGTTTTTATCGGTTTTCAGCGTTATTTTGTTATCGTTTTTATCGTTAACTTGGTTTTCCTGGGTCTTCACGTGTGTTATGAATAAATCTTCTTTTTTTCAGTGCCGGTACTAGTTTTATTTTGTTGTATTTATCCGCGACACCTTAAAGGCCGGTCCGTGAAAATATTGTCGGGCATAAACTGGTCCGTGACGCAAAAAAGGTTGGGGGCCGCTGCTTTAAAGTACAAAGTCCTTATTCTCAACTTCTCTGTTAGTATTGTTAATGCAGGCAGACACAAAAGCTCAAAAGCATATTCCCATTCAGAAAGCTACTTGTATTCATTTGTATGTACACACCATGCAGTACATGTACATTTAGAGTGGGTGAAGCAGATTTGTTTTACCTCTTTGCCTAGTGGCATGCCACTGCCCAGGGCACAGGTGAGGCCGATGACTTTGGCCACAAAAGTTTTGAAGGTGAGGTATTCTTTTAGGACGACTCCACGCAGAATGGTCTTCATTTCTGGAATACCTGAACCTGTAGTAGGACAACAGTGGGCACGTATAGCTGATTGTTTTAAATCGAACATCATTTTTCAAGCTGTTATCATTCACAACTAAATCTCTAAGAAGAAATCCAACTATTTGATAAGAATTTAATAATCATATTAATTAAGATGAACAAGATTTTGATCCAATAAATTCTGATCAGTGCATGACATCACATCTGTGTTTTTTCTACCTCACACAAAAAAAGATCTCACCATGTTCCCTCTTATAGGATGGAAGAACTTCTAAAGCTGCAACTTGTATGAATTTGGGTGCCAATTATAGCCTGACCATTATTATCAGACTATTATGTTAGCAACAGTCAATAATGTTCAGTCTATCAAATCACAACATGCTTATACTATTATTTATGTAGTAGGGGTAGTACACTGTGTTTTGAAGGAATGTTTTTTTAGTAAAACTACTGGTGATATTGTGTCGCTATCATTAAATTTCTAGTATTTGTTGTCAATCACTATATCATTCTAGTTCAGATTTGACCCACATGTGGACTAAAATAGTTCCATCTCACCATTTTGGTTTTTCACCCTAGTGATAGCCTTCACTTGCATCAACATTTCTTTGTATCTCATATTCAGAGTTCCAGTGAACAGCTTCAAAACACAGGTTTAACACCCTGGATCTTTTGTCATGGAATAACAAGTGAACAGGCCTCACCTGGCAATGAAAGTCTTTGATAGTCACTTGCCCAATTACTTTTGACATTTTAAACAATGGTGTTTATAAAAATGAATGCAATACATTCACTCCCTTGATTTAAATCTTATAGTCTGCACTTCAGCTACATTGACTGTTTGATTTAAAATCCTTGCTGTTGTTTATTTTTGGCCCTGCAAAATTAATTGATTATTTTGTGGATACTCACTCACAAGGTCTAAATTGGTTAAATGCAAGTGGTTAGCAAACCAGTATTATTTTATACGTATCATACCAACAGCCTGTGGAGCAAGGATCTGAGTGAAGCCTGCGGAAAAGGTGATGAGGACAACGGGGTAGGTGACCCAGGCCAGGTACTGCAGGAACACATTACTGTCCAGACCACCGTACATCCACTTCTGTGCTGTGGACACAAACCAGGACAGACGTGTAAAGCCACCATCCACTGAATACAGCATTGCAGACACACTCCACAGGAAACAATATGTTCATTTCGAATACAGTCAAAGATAAAACTTCACAAGAACAAACTGATGAACACACACACAAGCCCACAGTCAATGCACAACCAGGAGAGCGGCTGTATAAATATTTTTAAAGACATGAAAGATGTGTAGCTGTGTGGTTTTTCTCTGCACAGGACAGGTAGTTAGTCATGTTCTGGATCCAATTACGAGAACTGTACAGCATAACTGGAATTGACAAGACTAGGTTAGCATCCTCTTGAGAGCGACACACACACACACACACACACACACACACACACACACACACACACACACACACACACACACACACACACACTCTGTTTGAGAAATCCATTTGAATTAGACGCAGTCCTGTGAGGTTTCTGATCAGCTCTCACAACTTTCTTCAATCGTTTTAAAGTGTCTTCCTTCCTCTTCCTGGACTGTACTGTTTACTTAGTGATTAATCCCTCACCCTCGTCATCTTTTTTCTCTGTTTCTAAATCTACCTCCATGTTTGATGATAGATGTCATAAGAGGCCTTCCATTCATCCTTGCTGCCATCCTTTGATCAACCTTGAATCCCCAGTTATCCCTCCACCACTCTCTCGGCTTCCTTTTTTTTTTTTTTTACTCACTTCTCTCTTACCCCCAAACTTTTGCCTGCTACACCTCCTTGGTTTTACTCCTCTAAAGACGTTTCACACATCACAAGCTGCACATTATTATCATCTGCATTCGTTTCCAACAGGGCTCAATCCTCAGTAAAATCTTTCTATTTACAAGGTCCTGTAGGGACAGATCAATAAAACCATTCCTAATTAATTACCACATTATGCAGATGTCTGGATAAAGCTCTGGAAAGAGTTTCACTCTGCAAAACTCATCACAAGAAAAAAAGCTTAATGTCTTGTATTTGTCTCCATCTATATAAAGCAGAACCCTGTCACATTGAAAAAGTAATATACTCTTATTTTAATTTTTCTAGCCCTTCCTGTTGTGTTTTTCCATTTCCTTGGAGGAATAACCAGGTCACCGTTTCGGCGGTCCTTGAGCTGCCTCTCCAAAAAGTCTGTTGTCTTGCAGTCCACTGTTGTGGTCTACAGCCGGTTGGAGATGTACTTGTTCTGCTTTAAACGCCGACTGCAGTTCTGCTGCATAAACTCCACAAAGGTGTAGAGCTGAACAAAGACTAAATTGACAACTGCTCTCTAATGTGGTGGAGCTGATCTCAAATAACAGGATAAAAGACTAACTGGAGAGGCTGCTGATTTCGGCCTGATTTACTTGCAGAACCACCTAGAACTCCCACAGCTTCCACCAAACAGTTCTGCAAGTTATGCTGTTAATTAAGCAAAACTTGCTGTCCAACTGGAAGAAGGTCCAGCACCAAGTCATCAGGTGTTTTAAAGCTTTTTTTTTCCCCCCCATTATTTTCAGCCCCTTGAGTACCATTTATTGCCATTCTCTACCAGGCATTTATCAAATGGCACCTTTCTGAATTTAAAATCTTCCCAACCACTGGTACATCTAAAGGTCTTTCTCCTGATTACATTTCCTTGGGAAAAATTTGGTATTAAAAAAAAATGGATGGGAGAATTACACCAGGATATAAGTTGAGTGAGGCTTTATTTTTGCCATATGGAAATAATTTATTTTCTCCATTTCTAAAGCACTTAATTGACTAATTCCTTATATCATGCTAGTTCAAATTCTTATTTTCCCTTCGTTTACACTTCATGTTTGTACACATGGGTAAAAGTGTTATCTGAAAATATAGACTCAATATATTTTCCCATCTCTGCTATCTCACCCCTTTACCACCTCCCCCTTCCCACTAACTTCTCTCTCTTCCCACTCTAATCCCAACATAAAACAGTCTGTACATTACTTGCTTGTGTTACTATTGGCACTCTCCATTCTCAAACCCACAGGTGAAAAATGCAGTCCCTTGCTTGCTTACCTTGTAGGCAGATGGCGATGCAGAAGTCCACCACCCAGCTGACCAGGGCCATGAGGAGTCCCAGCAGGATGAGGAAGATCCAGTCCTCGCCGACACGCGAGATCAGGAACTTCTGACAGCGAACCGTGCAGACTAGAGGGACGGCAGGAAACAAGGTAACATGTTAGGACTACATCACCCAGAGATTGGCACTAACATTTGGACGGGGCAAACAGAATCTTTTCAAAATTAGCCAATAATAGCTGTGTTTCCATCCAACAGTTTCTGAAATATTGAGCACCAGTAAACATGCTGTCTGCTCAGAAAACTACTTCATCCTAAATGCTACAACACTTTAGTGGTGAGTGATTTAAAAAAACAAATCTTAAAAATAAATTAAAAAAAAAGGCAAAAGTTCATCAGTTTCCTAAATTTAAGATCCATATAAAGTTCACCCAGAGTCCAGCAACAAGCAAGCCATGGGAAACACTGTTTTTTGAAGTAGGTGAATTGCTTTTCGACACAATTGAGAATTTTTCTTCGTAAAACTATGAAAATGTAAAATAGAGGACCACTTCTTCAGGGGCTCCATGAGAAACTGTTTGCACGTTAGATTGCTCATGGAGACATGCGCTTCTGATAAATTCTTTAATTAGATTTCAAGGCTGTAAGGTTTTCAAACTTGTGAAAAGTCAATTCATGGGCAGACATCTTAAATTCTAGACAAATGAGATGTTCTATTCTGAATAGACTTTTGTCTTTGTGGTGCAACTTAATAACAAAAACCTTTTATGACAGATCTGTGAAACCAAAGAGTAACCTTCGACTTCTTTGCATTGACTTGAGTTTTTAGACCTGAAAACCATTTCCTTTTTAAATAAAAAACTGGGATGGAAACTCAGCTAGCTGAGACGTGGAAGCCACATGTTGGAAATGTTACATGGGATGAGAATAAATCTGTCACTGTTACCACTGGCAGCCATGTATAGCAGAGGTTACAACGTCACATTCAACCCGTGTCCAGAATACGATTTCATACACAACGTGGCAAGATGATAAAGACAAATGAGACTACACTGATCAATGAATATTAAATGCACAACAGAAATGTCACTGAAACAGAGGCACTACGAAGCCAAAACACAAAGCACACACAAGGCAGGTTATGAGGCACAATCACATCTGCTTTACTTACCTAGAAGCAACGGGAAACTGAAATTCACGGCTAATATACTGTATAATCCTCAGTGTGAGCCATGCATACACTCCTAGTAATTATGACTAATTGCTGGAACCAAACATTAGTTTGACAGTGACTCATTAGGATGTTCACGCACACACCATAATTCATACAGCCTCTTGTTCACGCCACATCTCCCCCGCCACCCTTTTTCCAAACCTGTCCTCTGTTCCCCATTTCTCCTCTGCAGGGGAAAGACACTTGGGTGCACTGGGTCCTTTTTACGCTTCAGCATGTAGAACAAATGTTCATGTAACACTCCAAATACTTGGACTTTTTTTTTTATTTTAATGGCTGACCTTTATCGCATTCAACTTTTTTTAATATTTCAGCATGGACAGGAATTCCCAAACCTTTATTTAATTTAAAACCTGACATGTTAGGCCATGGTTCTCTATCCTTCATATCCCTTATTACATCTGCCCTCCATTGACTTCTGGTGATCTGTCAATATGGAACAAATAAAGAAGAATGACTGTTATTCCTTAGATTGCAAACATGTTTGTCTTTCATCAAATCAAGGTTAAAAAATTCGATAGAATCGTCAGAGCAGCGTTTACTTCCTTTATCCATCTATACAGGCCACCTACTGATCTTTATTTAATGCATGACATATGAGAAATATTTATTTTTAAAGAAAAAAAAAGAAAGAAAGAAAAACCACACACACACAAATTGTATAAATTCTTCAATAACTGAATCAAGGGGTCATATCCCACAGTAACTGTGTGACAAAGTTCAGGTCATTTCTTGATTCAGATACGTTTTTGTTGGAGTGGAACGTGAAGACTTCATGCCCTCATGCATTCAGTGACTTTTGTGTGTTACAAGGGTCCAAATAAGGCCCAGACTCCACATACTTAGTGACATAAAACAAATACACATATATATCTTTTGGCATTTACAATATGTACTGCAATCTCTTGTCTGCTATCACACATGTGGACACCGACACAAAACAACTGCTGGCAAACAGAAAAAGAAACTTCTACAATCACCACACTTGGATCGCTCTTTCACTTTAGTGGCATGCAAGTTTTACCAAATCAAAACAATTTAAAAGTATTTTAGTTTTACTTCTGGATTCATGAAACCTAGCAAACCTGGCTTTTATAATGGCCTAAATTATTTGAGGCATGGACTACACGGACTCAAAAAAACCATCTCCATCCAGATGGGTTCACATTTCTCGAACAGCAGAAGACAGATCCGCTTTACAGGATGGAACCCGTCATAAATCTTTTCTTCCCCCTCAATTTCCACCATAAGTTTTGACTGGGACTGATTCACTGAATTGATTTGTTTTTTATAAATAAAACCTCTCAAACTCTTTGCTCTGTGGCAAGATGTATTATCATACTAAGAAAGTGACTTCATTGTCACCAAAACTACTTTGTATTGACAGAATATATATAGTACAATAAAACTGCAGTTGTATTGTACTTTCTGTTATTTTTGGAAACAAGTAACAGAAGGTGTGTTTAGGGATAAGTGCTAGCTGTAGCATCTCAACAATGTTTTTATTAATCCTAACTTTCGAATCCCCTTGCCCTGTAGATCTGTGGGAGTAGAAATCCTGCAAAAGCCACTGAGAAACCAACCTAAAAAAAACAAACAACCATTCAGTTTCCTGTAGAGGTTTGTGTGACATCTCTGTGATGGACACGGGAAATGGAGAAAGAGTCAGACAGGACAGGAGGGGAATAAGAGATGCTGCTGGGACTGAGAAAAGGATGCATGCAGAATACACCCAAGTCGCACTTCAGCTCACATACATCCACGCATCCCCCAATCAACACCTTAAGGAGCAGCCTAACACGCACATGCAGGTGAAAGCTGTGACAAACACAGAACGCACATACACAAAGACACACTCTGCTTTCCATCACTTCAGTCAGTTATATGACAAATCTGAGAAACAGACTTCGTACATGTGTATATTTAGATTTACGTGTTATCAGAGCATGTGTGTGTCTGTGTGTGTGGGTGAGGTGTCTGCGTCATCTCACCCACGGGCCGTCTGTGTTCTTGGACCCCTTCTGCCATCTAGACACTAGTCAATGTAAATGAGTGTTAGAGTGTGTCTGTGTGTCTCAGGGTGTGTGTGTGTGTACGAGCATTTAGCCTAAAGTTTAATCTTGCCTTTTTGGAGATGTAATTTAGTTAGCTCAGCCTGTGCTGGTATTGCTTAATAGCTTTTTCTGCAATGCGCACACAAGCACAGATCCTGCAGACTGGTTACTGAGTTTATTCTCTGTGGCATGCAATAAGCAGCATGCTAGTTCCCAATCACTGTCACTGCCTTCCCCACTCACACCCTGCAACCCCAGCCCCCTTCATCCTTAACCTCCTCCTCCTGCAGCTGCTTTCTACTAATCACATTCAACCTGTAGCTTTACCTCTCATCTCCTGCTCTCCCTCACAAAGCCTTATCTCCTGCCTTCCACTCCTTTCCACACTGCCCCCCACCCCCGACACACATGCTTTCTTCCCTCTCCCTGTTTTCCATTCTCACTTGCTCACTCTGTCCTCAGCAAAAACCATGATGCCCACATACCTGCTGAGACCAATTTAGGTTGCCTTGGAGACACAGTGCATCTAGTTCATAGCTCTGGCATTAAGATACTGTATGCGCACACGCTTGTGTTTACTTTGTTGCAACATGTTATGGAGATGCCATAATAGGAAATTAAAAGAAAAGACTAAAGGGTCAAGAATGTACCCCAGCTAATAATAAGGCTGGGGTACATAAAAGAGGGATATTTAAAAAGCCAGTGTGAGAGACATTTGGTCTCTTATTGGACAAATTCCAAATAAATGACGTTTCACAAAATCCAAAGAAAGACAATCAAACAAAATGTCAAAAACTGCAGGTCCATGACTGGCACACATGGCTCACAGGTACATTCTGTAAATTCCTGTTTGAAACCATCCAAATCAACAAAAGCTATCAACAGAATATAAACAAATAGCTTCTAGGACTTCATGTGTTAAAATAACAGATTGTGTTGGGATCAAGTGAAGCAGGACCAGAACTGTACTGTACCTATACTTTTATGTAATGCACCTTTGGACCACATGCTATAGTGCAAAGTCTATGGTAGAAAGCTAAGAAAAGAAATATAAACTGTTTCAACACAGCCCTTAGTAAAACTCTGCCCCCTGGTGTTTAAAAAGTTCCATTTTACAGAGCGTAATTACAAAAAGGTATTTTTAACCCTTAAAGTTGGAGGCTGATGACTTTTGAATATTTTCACACAATTATCTTAGAAATAACTTTGCTGTATGGTAATGAACTCTCAACAGGTTTGTGTTACAGTTTTAGTGAGTAACATTTTATTGGTCTCTGTATACATTAGCATTAGTGTTGTGCATTGTTCCCATGATCTATGCACGCAGCTTGCTAGAATTAGTTCATTAACACTCCGACCTGTCATCTAAATACAGATGGCTTAAAATGAGGCATCCAAAAACTATATCGACCTTTTCTATGTAGTCTGTGAAACCAAATTAGCCATGTAAGTGGGCAGCATGGTGTTGGAAATCTTATAGTTCGGAGTTTGATTCGTTGCCTCGGGGACAGAGCAGCTGATTCCACTATGAATTATGCATCGTTTCAAAGAGTGCTTGAAGATAATGTGAGGCCATCTGTTTGAAAGCTGTAGTCAAACCAGATAATGACACTAAGTACACTAGTGTTTCCACCATGGAGAGCCCCAAAAAGAAGAAACAGAATGGCACGGGATGTGAAACAGGCAGTACATGTATCTTCAGTTATCTTGCAACTGATTAAGGTTTGCATAGAAGAGTAGTTTCAGCACATCAAAGTCTGAGACTTTTTGGAGAACTCACTTTTGACAGTTCAATAGCTGTGATCTGGACTGTGCAGTTATTTTTTCTCATTAAGAATTTC